TTAGAGTTCTGGTTCTTACAGGTCTGGTTCTTAGAGTTCTGGTTCTTACAGGTCTGGTTCTTAGAGTTCTGGTTCTTACAGGTCTGGTTCTTACAGGTCTCTTCTCTCCTGCTCTAAATAAACTCTGGGATCTGGACCATCAGCTGCAGCAGATTTAACCCAGAAACAGAAAAATATTTCTTATGTAACCCGGTCCCGGTCCCGGTCCTGAGGACTGAATCTGTCTGCAGTCAGGAGGGACTAAAAGCCTCCCAGATGTCAGAGAACACATRAAGTCTCTGAGTCTCTGAGGTCACAGGTTCAATCAGCCGAAACAAACTGAAGTCTTTCAAGCTTTCAGYAGGATTTAATCGAAGCAGCTGAGCTTCTGAGCTCTGACGTCAGAACCAAGAACAGCTGTTCAGCTAAATAAAAGCTTTTACTTTCTGAATAAACATGTTTCTGTGAAACAGTTTTCATCAGAGCTGCTGAAGCTCAAATCAAATCTGCTGAGTCATGCTGTCAGCCAGCAGAAACTGAATTTACACTTTGTTTTTAGACAGAAGATCTGAGCATTTAGAACACCACGCTCCATGCTTTTATTTTGAAACCGTCACAAGAATTCCTTTTAACCAGTGAGGAGAACCTGAAGGACAACGTGGAGATTTTTATTTTGACTTCTGCTCTGATTTATTTCTATCAGTCTGGTATAAAGTACCTCACAGTGATACATGAGTAGAAGTACAAATACTTTACCTTAAAATTACTGAGGTAAGTCTTAAAGTATCTGATACCTGTTGTACTGAAGTATCAAAGGAATTTATTCATGTAAATTAAGTATTAAAAGTAAAGTTAGTGGTCTGTTCTGGTCCTGATGGTCCACAGAGCTATCAGGACCAGAACAGAAGCGGTCTGGTCTGGTCTGGTCCTGATGGTCCACAGACCTGGTCCTTCTCAGACCTTTGTTTCTAACAGCAGCTGACGTCAGAGCGTCTCAGATTCGGGTCAGGTTACCTGGAGGGTTCTCAGGTATGTGGAGCAGAACGTGTCTCAGGTGATGATGGCGTGGGTTCTGACGAGCACCACGCCCTGAAAACCGGACCCAGAACGCGTCTRAAGACCACAACAAAACAAAACAAACTGAAAGTGTTCCACGATGACGTCATCAAACCTGAACCACCAGTTTATYCAAGCTGAACTCAAACCTTCAGACTGACTTCTAAAGGTTTATCGTTTATCTGTGTGTTAGCAAAATATCTCCTGAGTCCTGATCCAGCCTCGGTCGGGTTCTGGACCCTGAAACTGAACAGAGTCTCTAATGAGGAACCAAACATTCAGGTGTTTTTCTCTGAGAGGAAATCAGGTCAAACTAAACAAGGTCATCATCATCATCATCATCATCATCATCATCATCATCATCATCATCATCATCATCATCAGGAGGTGGAGCTTCTGAAGATTCTTTCATCTGATCAGGTCTGTCACAAAGCATCTGGTCCTGCTGGTCCTGCTGGTTCTCCTGGTCCTGCTGGTCCACACTTAATTCCAGAGAGGCCTCTGATGAAGAGCTGCTCCTCTTCCTCACATCTCCCCACATGACCAGGTCTCTGGAGGTCCACAGGAACCCAGAAGACTGGCTGAGTCCTTCAGGTTTCAGGAGGACTGTCCCAGAACCAAACAAATACCAAATGTCCCTGTAAGTCCACATCCAGATCCTGACCCGTCTTCTAAAATTTCCCCTGCTGAAGAGGGTCCAGGTCCAGGTCCAGGTCCAGGTCCAGGTCCAGGTCCAGGTCCAGGTGACTTCAACACAATGAAGGACAGATTCAAGGTTCAGTTCTGTAAAATGTTGGACCAGAACTTTCTTCCCTCAGTCAGACCACTGAAGCTGGGTCCAAGTGGGTCCAAGTGGGTCCAAGTGGGTCCAAGTGGGTCCAAGTGGGTCC